CAAAAAAAAATATTTGGCGGTACATTTTCCGAACAAAAAAAAACGCCTGATAGGTTCTACCACATATCAATGAGTTGAGTAGAAATGAGTGAAAAAAGGCGGAAAAGTCAAAAAAATGTTTACTGAACACATGATTTCAACAGAAAACCTGGGAATCTGAATTTTTTTGCTTGCCTAATGTCAGATCGAAAAACAATGACAATTAATAATCGAATTAGGATATTTTTCACATTGAAAACCAATACCTAATATTTAAGAGCTGTGTGTGTGTGATTTTTGTTTAGTTTTACGGGATTGTTCTCACTAATTTATTCTCAACTCATCTCTTCGGAAAAACTCCTGAATAAAATTTTTTTTTTCAATTGCCATTTTTGACGTGGATTTTTTTTTGTAAATGGACTTGAAACCAGCATAAAAAATCTATAAGATGAGGCCGTTGCCGTTTTTGAGATAAAACTCGTCCGAATTTCGTTTAACTGTGTAATTTGTAAAAATTCCCCAATTTGCCCAAGTTGTCGACAATTATATTTTATTTAAATCATGACAATATTTAAAAATTAATTTATCCTAAACTACACTAGATAACATTCGCAACTTACCGAAATTTTCCAGGATCAGTTGACATGCAGTTATTAGATAGCAACTTTATCTCCTGAAAAGGTAAATTTTTTTACTTTACCTATTGTTGCAATAGAAAATTTAAATCACAAAATTTTCTATTCTTTCTCTTTTTGTTGCTAATTACCTTAGAAAAAGCACAAAGAAATTTTATTTGAATTTTGTTTTTTTATTGTCAGCGATTTTATAGTGAAAAAACAACTTAATTGTAAATGTACAGTTCAATTCACATAAACATAAGAATATACATATGTATGTATGGAAACACTAAAATAATGCTTGGTAGGAGGAATATCTATGTAGGTGTAGGTGGGGTTTGGTCGTACCACGCACGACACGCTATCATAAGAGGGCATACATATAAAATGTTTTTGTTTTTTTTTTTTGTATTTTAAATTGTTTATTTGTAATTTTACTTAATTATGTATAAAAATACGGAAAGTGCAAATAAATTTGCCTGACATTGTACGCTCACATTCCGACTTGCCGAAATATGCAAATTAAAATTATACAATACAAGTACATATTTATAAAGGTGTGTAAAATGGGCAATTGCGCTTTGTTGTTTTGTTTTTTTTTGCTTTTTTACAGAAATTGCACATTTATAGGTAGATTTGTTTGCATACATATGGATTTATGCTGTATGTATGTGTGGATATACACAAATATTTGCGGTTTGTCCGCAGGACAGTCACAACGCCGCTATTTCACATTTATTTTGGTTTTTTTCATTTGATGAATTATTTTTTTTATTTGAGTTTTCTTTTTTTTTTGGATTAACGAGATAATATGCTAATGCGGTTACGGGTTGTCAATTGAAATTTATTTCTTCTACTTAAACCAAATATCCATTGTTGTTAACATACTTACATACATATTTTGATTGATTGGAAAAATTATACAGACATACACACATTTGCAAAATAATAATATTAAAAATAAATTAATTTGCGGACGAAAAAACTGCTCAAAAGCACATTTTCCTGTATTTTTCTTCTTCTTTTTTATAATAATAATTCACATATACAATTTTACATACAATATCTATGCTTTTAACTACATTTTATATATGTATATAATTCTTTAGAACTAGCCCTAAAAGTAAATATAAATACTTATATACATACATACATAGATATATGCATCAGTGTTAAGTTTTATAATTATTTTTGTATAAGTCCATTTAATATCTACTATATAAGCTAAATATTTTAGTATTAAAAGCTCTTCAAATTCTTAGTTGTACTAAAATTATAAAAATCTTAAATAGGTAAATCATATACATATTTAATATTTAAGAAAGCGATGATAACTAAAATTTATTTAAGTAAAATTGCATTATGAAAGCAAATTTAAATCGTTGCTTGCTTAGAAAAGTATGTAAGTATAACCTGAAAATATGTATATTCGCATATATTTACAATAAAATATTTGCTGGAAAATTTAAATTAATATTTATAAATTTTATTTGAAAGAAAAAAAAAGTAAGTAATAAAAATTTATAGTATTTAATTAGAATTAAAGTCTCGTTTTAAAAATGTATAGTCCTATTTTTTATATACAAACTTACAGATGTACGCGTATGCCATTGACATAAAAAAAAACTTGACAGCCTTAACGCAGAAAAACGCTTTTGTTTGGCGGAAGTGATAAAAAATTCCAATTATTTTCATTTTAATCATGTATGCCTGTTTTTGCATGTGCAGGTATGTACTTTAGCACCAAAATGGCAGAAACTATGGATTTTATGTTTATTTTTTTTAATAGTTATGGTCGTTTTTAATGCGCTTCCAAAAATGCCTAACCCAACTTAATACAGCAAAATAATTTTTCTTCTTTCTGTTTGTTTAGTATGGAAGGAGTCGCCTTGGTTTTTTATTATATCAGTTTTTCAATCACTATTCCAAACTAGTTCAGTAATATTCATTTCATTTAAATATTTTTTTTTTAATTTTTTTTATTTGTTTTTATTTAAATTAGTCTTTATTTTTCATTATTTTTTATTTTATTATATATTTTGTTTAATTTTAGTTTATTTTATTCCATTTTATTGTACTTTTTAATTCTATTTGATTTTCATTTTTATTTAACTTTTTATTTTTATTTAATTTTTTTATTTTTATTTAATTTTATTTTTATTTAATTTTTTATTTTTATTTAATTTTTTATTTTTATTATAATTTAACTTTTTACTTTTATTTAGTTTTTTATTTTTATTTATATTTAATTTTCTATTTTGATTTATATTTCATTTTTTATCTTTATTTTTATTTAATTTATATTTTTGATTTATTGTTTTTTTCAGTTCGTCGGTGTTTTTGTAAAATCGCTCATAGACCAATTGCAAAACCGCCTACCTTACGGCACTAAACTTTACAGGACGAAAAAACGGTTTTTCTTTGAAGGCATCGGCTCGATAGGCCGTATTTTCTCTAGCTATTATTTTACAAATCCGTTGTTGTAATAAATCTCGATGCCCGGAGTTCAGGGTTACCAAATCTCATTTTTGGCACGACGATGATTTAGGCGGTTTTGCAACTGGTCGATGGGCGGTTTTGCAAAAACATTGACCATTCAATTTTTTGTTAAACTTTTTCTTTTTTATTTAAATTTTTAATTTTGTTTTAATTTTTTAAATTTTATTTCATTGTGTTAGTTTTAGTTTACTTTTTTATCTGACTTTGCTTAATTCTTTTTCACTTTATGATTTTATTTTACTTTATTTTATTTTAACTAATTTTAAATAAATTTTTTATTTATTTTATTTTACTTATCTTTAAAACTGATTTTATATTTTAATTTAAGTAAATTTTTATTACATTAAATTTATTTTTTTTTTTTTTATATACAAATGTAGGTATTATTATATATCACTTTTATTTTTTATTTTCATTGTGTTGGTGGTGTTTCTAAAAGTTTTTTGTCGGACGATTTATCGTCATGCCTTGTCAATTTTGGTTAGAAGGTCTTCAGTGTAATTTCTTTCCCCTCAAGAAATGACTTAGTTTCATAAGAGAGCCTGGTAAGAGTACCTACTGGAGTTTTAAATTTGGAGAAGGTAATTGCTTATATTAAGTACAATCGAAGATAAAAAGCAAAGCGTGAGAATTAAACCTCGCCGATCACCTAATGTTAAAATTCTTGGAACTTACCTGTCTTCCTAATTGCGGTTAAGCTTTTAGTGGAAATGGGCTACTAGTTTTAGTTTACTTTATTTTATTTTAAATTTCTTAATTTTGTCAACACTTTATTTTATGTCACTGAAAGATTTTTAATTTATTTCATTTTTCTTTGTAAAATGGTTTAGTTGATTTATTCTTATATTTGATTTGGTTAAATTTTATTCAACACCTAGAGTTAAATTTTTTAATTCGTTTAGTTTTTATTTTGCTTAAGTTTATTTGATTTATTATTCATTTTTTCCACTTATTAATTTAATAAAATTTTGTTTAATTTTTCTTTAATGTTTTTGTTGCTTTATTTTATGTTGGTTAATTTTTTACTAAAATTTTGTTTAGCCTTTATTTTTTTTTATAATCACTTCAATTTTTATATACTTAAATTTTCATTTTATTTTATTTTGTTTTATTTTTTTTGTAGCTAAATTTTATTCATTTTATTTTAATTTGCTTTTACTTTGTTTTATTTTTTATTTCATCTTATTTTAATTTTACATATTAATTTTTTATTTGAGTATTTATTTTTTTCAATCCTTTTTTATATTACTTTAACTTTCTAAATTCATTTTACTTTTTCATTTTATTTTACTTTTTATTTTATTTTACTTTTTTATTTGATTTTTTTTTATTTTTTGGTTTTACTTACTCATTTTATTTTTTTGTCTAATTTCAGGTTTTCTTTCTTATTTTATTTAACTTTTTTAATTATTTATTTTATTTTACTTTTTTTAATTATTTATTTCAGTTTCAATTTCTAATTTTATTTTCCCTTTTGTTTCATTTTACTTTTGTTTTTGTCACCTTTTTATTATTTTTATTTTATTTAACTTCTACTTAAGTGAATTTAGTTGTAATTTCATTCTTTATTTTAATTGTTTTATTCATGCGTCCACTACAAAACTTTTATTCAAAAATTCTAGTTTCCCCCCAAACAAAAGGTCTTGTACCTGCGCACTTACTTATTCCAAAATAAAAAAAAACCAGTACTACACCTATACTTATTTTATTGGTAGGTTGCTTGTCGGTCGGTCGGTTTGTCGCTTAGTTTAACTAGTTATTTACTTAGTTGCGCCTTTAACGCAGTTCGTCAATTAAAATTCTAGGGGAGGCGGCCACCACAGCTAATCCCATTCACAACAGTCGGTCGTAGTTTGCAATTTTTCGCTACTTTATGCTTAACCACACTTCGCAGTTCAATCGCATAAACATACACAAGCGCACAAGAGCAGTGACATTTTATTCTAATTTCATTTTATTTCTATTTTCCTACTTTTCGCACTTTGCATCATCTTTTTTTCGCAACACTTTTGCATAGTCTATTTTTTATGCCTTTCACTGCCAAGCCATTGCTTTTGTTATGCTGTTATTCCAACAAACCATTCAATTGAAAGTTACGTTTATTTCTCATTTATTGTTAACTGCTGTCGTAGACTTCCGTTTCCTTTGCACACTTGCGCGCACACATCCATACACTCACTTCCGTGAGCGTTTTTGCACTCAATGGGATTGTCAGCATAGTCATTGTCATTGTCAGTGTATATGCGGCTATGTGGACCGCGGATCAACACCTCAGTTCACTTCAGTTCATTTTAGTTCAACTAACGCAATTCAGCGTAATGCGGGTGTACGACTGTGCGTCAGTGTGTGTTTGTGTGTGTGGTTATTGGTATGCTATTTTTATATGTAAGTAAGTATGTGTATGAGTCAATGTGGATTTGTGCCTGCGGATTCAGTGATTTCGACGCAAACGTCGCCGATAACTCGAACGACGCGGCAGCGCCATTCGTCGTTGTTGATGCTGGTGCTGGTGTTGTTGTTGTTGTGACTGTCGCTGTTGTTGGGGCCGCTGATCTTGTTGTTGCGACTGCGCGATGTCGCCAACTCTTTGATATCATGTGCGCTGGTCGCGCGTATCTGTATTCGTATCCGTATAACTGCTGGGGCTATTGGGTGCGCCTTTTCCTAATCGCTCTCCATTGATACTGCCGCCTCCGCCACCGCCAGCTAGCGGCTTAACCCAAACTAGATTGTCATACTGCGTTTCGTCGCGGCCTTGTGGTGATGGATTGTTATTGTTGTTGTTATTGTTGTCAGTGTTATCATCCTCATAGTCCATGTTGCCATAGTCCTGGCTTCGTTTATCTTTTTTGATGTTGTTTTCCTTTTGATTGCCATTACGTCGTCGCAAATTGTTATTGTCCTTGTTGTTGTTGTTGTTGTTCTGGTTATTGTTGTCGTCCCCCTCCTGCGATTTAAAGCCTTTAGGTACTTGATGTTGAACCAGGTGCAACTCATTTCTCGCCTTATTTTCCCATTGTTGCTGGTTGGCCTTTACCTATATATTTATTTTTTTGATAATCGACGAGTTTTTGTTGTAATGTTTTTTTATTTTCACGCAGCACAAAGAATAGAAAAATTTATATATGAAAATCTAAGTCAATGTAAATATCAACAAACGATTGCAAATTGAAAGCAAACAAGGGCTTAGCGAAAGGAAACAACCGAAAACCAAACAACAAAATGTAGAAAATTTGTTTAAAGTATTAGTGGCTGATTAGTTAGATAGCGAAGAGAGACGCGTAGGCATAGAGAGCTTAGAGTGCCAACACCTCCCAATAAATGTGTTAGATATATACATAGATATTTTAACATACAAATGTATGTATGCATGTATAAGGACATAGTTGAGGGCATACGTAAACAGATTAGGTGCACATACATATACAGTCGCTCAAATAACATTCACTTGGTGTTTTTTTTTTTAATTATTTTCAATGTTCTTCAAGCTAACATTTTTTGTTATTTTTTTATAAAAATACTTTTAATGCTATAACCAAAACCATATAAATAAAAGTTTCCAGCGTAATACGAAATTTAGGAAAACTCAACGAAAGATATTCAGCAAAAAAAAAGGTTTAAAATCTACACGAAATTTCAGTCGCTCAAAACTTGCACCTGGGCTGCATACTCAAAAAAATTCCTAGAAATTCTGTTAAATTTTTCTAAATTTTATATAAAGTTTAAACCTTTTTGATATGGTTATAGCATGCAAAATATTTAAAAATATATATATATACCAAAAGAATATAAACTCGGGAGACATTGCGAATATTTAAATAAAAGAATCACAAAAAAGTCACTGTATGAACATATATTTGTGTATGTGTGTTAGTTTATATATGTATGTATGCACGTGCAGTATTTATTTTTGTTATATACAAAGCCAACAGAAAGCGAACATAGCTGCACACATTTGTGCAGGTTTCTTAATCTTGCGGTTGATTGCTTTACCCTCAGCGCCAGGTGGTACATTTACCATTTCAAATTTAATCCCTACCATAAATTGGAACAATAAAAAATTTGAGACAAGCCCATATTTAAATTCTCTCGAAAGTCAAATACTAAATTAAATAAAACAATATGCATATAAAATAAAAACAAATCAAACAATATATCTACAATAAAATATAAAAAGTAAAGACAACAAAATTAAGTTAAACTTAATTAAATTAAATAAAACAAAAAAAATAAAAGAAAATGAGCTTAAATACAGTAAAGTAAAATTAAATTATATTAAACAAAATAAAATACAAAAGTATAATAAAACAAAATAAAATAGAATAAAATAAAACAAAATACTAAAAATAAAGTAAAGTAAAACAAAATAAAATAAAATAAAATAAAATAAAATAAAATAAAATAAAATAAAATAAAATAACAGCAAGACAAAATAAAATACAGTAGTACAGCGGGCATGCGAAATTCGAGCATGAGAAATAAAAGGTGCATTTCTTTCTTGCACAAGAAGACTAGCAGGGCGGTAGAATCGCTGCTATCTTAAAACAAGGCCGGCCACCGTTTTTTCTTCGTTAGGGGAACCGCCATATTTGGGCCGCAACCAAACAATTCCCCAAAGTTAGTATTTGTTTATACGTGCTAGTCAAACGACTCAAGGATTTTGCTGCATCTCAGCACACTTTTTTTAAGAGGGTCACAGTTTCCCTTACTTTGGGGAAATATTCTATTAACCCTTAATTACTCGATTGCATCTTTCCCGCGCGTCCCCTGCTTCCTAAATCTTGCGTCGCTGTTCTATTGAGTCGTGTATTTACATGTATGTACAATGTATTTACAATTTTTTATGTAGGGAACATTTCGTTGTTTAATGCGAGACCTGTGATGGCATCGATCTCAATATCTAATCTAATCTACCAATTTAACTTTAAGCGCTTGATCTCAGTATATACAAAAAATTTGTCTTTAATTAGAAGTTTTTATTTTAATTTTTTTTGTTCTCCATATAAAAAAAAATCTAACATTATTTTATATGGAGGAAATGAACGACTCCTTTAACAAAAAAATTTGCCAAAAATCATTGGTAAGACCTAGATACCTCAAACTTGCACATTATTATACTAAAATTGAATGGGTTAAAAAATTGCATACTCAACTTTTTTCAAAAGAGTGTAATTAAAAAGTGCAATATTTTAATGAAAGTTTGCAGAGTTTTCTTTAATTTCGCACAAAGTTTGGAGCTCGGATTTTTGGCGTCTTGGTTGTAGAATTAACCATATTTTTATAAAAATTTGCGAAAAAAATAAATTAAATTAAAAACAGTTGCCCGTAGTGCAAAAAAATCACTGTACCTAAACTTTATTGATTGACTGTATATGAATTTACCAACATAATGTTTTTCAAGTTAAATTTTTTTTGTTATTTTTGATAAAAAATATTGTTAGTGCTTTACACAAAACAATGCAAAATTTAGAAAAAGAAAACAACCAATTTTCATCAAAATTTCGAACTTTACAAGCGGTTAAAAAATCGCGTTAATTTTGAATAATCTGGTTTTTTTCTGACGTGTTTTGAGCTTTTTTCCATTAAAACATGAAGTTGAAGTTGAAATAAATTGCGCAAGATCGTCCACAATAAAAAATCAACGTATATTTTTATAAATTGCACTTGTTATAAAAAAATCAATGTCGCACGGTTTTGTCAAATATCCATCCCTTTTTGTCTTTGGGTTTTTTCTATCGCAATAAAATCTTCTTTTTCTAACAGATGTCTTTATTTATTATTGGTTTGAAGTGTAACTTGTGAGAATAACGAAACGGTGAGCTTTAAAGCAATGGATTCCCACGTTACAGCCAAACGATTGATTGCACTACTCAAAGAACTTTTTATAGCTCAAAATTTAATATCGGTTTTTTTATAAACTGGCATTAGAGGGTTAAACCTTGGGTAACCCGGAAAAACGGTCGACCGTGGCGATGGCTATGTGCATTTCTTTCATACTACGAATTCATTACGTTGTCAAAATAATTGCTTTATAGAATGTGAGGAATGTGAAAAATCACGTCATAACCCAAATGTTAGATGAATTCCGACAATGAAAGTTGAATACGAACTATGCATATGTATGTGTGAGTGTGACTTTGTGTATGTTTTAATGTAATACTCTGCATGGGAGGATATTTGAGAAATGCCATTATAAAATCCATAATCAAAGATTTGAATTGTAAATCGGTTAACGCACACATGCAAATTCACATGCACTTTGCTTAAACAACTGTCTATCCGTTTTAGTAGATATCTTATAACAAATGTACAAATTACATACATATGTATGTATGTACGTGGGGATGTATGCGCTGAAATTTTATTCATAGAAACGGAAATTCGTATTTAATGGACTGGAAGTAAGCCAAATAAATATGTTTGTATGTTTGTAAGTATGAGTATAAGTATAAAGTGAAAGTGAATAACTAAATAAATTACCGAGTTTGTGCGCAATATGGAATAACGAGTCGCATTTAACGTCAAAAAGACGCTACGAACGCCTGCTATTTGGTAAGTCAATAACTCATTAAACAAAAAAAATAAAATACTTTTTTATGATGGGGGAAACTGAGTGAATCAATGAATGCTGCGTAAAGAAAAACAGATGAACATTTTCGAACAGTGTCCACAAACATGTAAAGGAAAACAAAACTAAACACACAAATTAACGAGGCATTAACTGGCGAAAAGTCTGCAGTGCATACATACCTTAAATGTATTATCCTGTACCCAAGCATCTGGCTTACCATAATCCGGTGGATTCGCATAGGGATCATAGCCGAGAATGGACAACATTGGCGCAATATCGGCCATATCACGCACCACATTATCGGGTATGTTGCCCACCCATTTGGATAGCGCTTCCAAATTGACTGGCTTGATGACCTGATCCGAGGAGCGCTCGACTCTGAAAGAGATAAAAAAAAAATCGTTTAATAAGGAACTGTAAACAACAGTTATTTTTAGCTTTTGAATAGTGAATCGACTTTTTTGATAATAACACTAGATTAGTTTTCGTCACAACTTCAAACAATTCTTTGACTTTTAATACTTTTAGCACGAAATACCGATTACTTTATTTCTGAGGGCAAAAATAAAAAGGCAAAGATTGCCTGATATTTTGTGACCAATATAAGAATGGTTTATATTTGCCTTACAATTTTAAGGAATTGATGTTAAAAATAAATTCCCGAAAAATGGAGTTTTGGGCAGTTGCAGTTGATTTTTACGAGCGTTTTAGGTTTATTGCATATTTTGTTTTCTGTATTTTTCAAGACCTTTTAAGATTTTTTTGGAAACTTTTGGGATCAATGGGGAAACTTTGGGGGCAATCAAGTATTTTGATGGAGCTTTCAGATTCAAGACATTTAAATCTTAATTTTGCTTTTTATCAGTGCTCAAAGCAAAAAATCGTGAGTTTTTCTTGCTCAAAAGAATAGCAAACACATTTTTCCTTTTTGTTTTATAATACATACTCCGTGCGGTATCTGGGATTAATACAGAGCTATGTTCTTGGAGCGTTACGGTATTTGGAGCCTGGGGCTTGCCTCTTGCTTTTATGACATTATCAAACAGTGAAACCTCGGGATAGCGAATCTTAATAAATTGATAAACTCAATATAAAAAAATTTTGTATAGTCTCCTGAAAAAACTTCGCTTTTTCATACAAAAATGCTCCACAGATATACGAAGAAGTTTTAAGCATGAAAACCTTGGGAATATATTGATAGTAAATGTCTTGTTAACAAAAAAACTTTATATAAAGAAGTGTCGACTCTAAATCCTCTACATAGTGAATATTAAATATCTTGACGGTTAGAGTATCGTTGTAAAAAAAAAAACGCAACTATACATATAATGAATTTTTCTTCAAAATTTAGCTTTTATTATGTTGAAAGGAAACCATAGATATAACGAAGCAACTTTATTATATCGAGGTTTCACTGTATAATTAATACTAAAATGTATGTATGTTTTTTCCCCCCTTTCTAAACCTATCTTCTAAATTAAGGAATATCTAAATAAAAATGTGTTCCCTTAAAACGAAAGTGGGAAAATTTTTACAAGTGATACAAAAAATTAATAACAGCATTTGTATAAAACTGGAGATGTTTTTTTTCTGACGAGACGTTCCTTTTACAGGGTTGAGTGTAACATCGAGAAAATTTTGCACCGTGAAAGGATAACATTTTTGGCAAAACTTTTTTTATACAATATCTCTAACTGGTATTTAAAGATACTAAAATTTTCAAGAATATTTGTTTTTTTTTTAATATGAATTTTCGAACATTGAAAATAAATTTTAATTAAAATTGTTTGACATGTTTTCAAAATTTAAAATCCATTACTTAAAAAAGAAACACAAAATTGACCTTCAGATCCTTTAAGAAGATAGAATATGTTATAAAAAACATTAAACCTCAAATTTTTATAAGTTTTCGATTTAAAAAAAATTTATTTTCCAAATTCTGTAAATTTTATTTTTCAATTTTTTTGTATGCAGCCCTAAATATCACCTTTAAAACGACACTTGACTATATTAGTTTTTTAGGTATTCAAAAAATAATCTTACAAAATACCGGAAATTGTAAAATTTAGAATTTTGCTTCACTTTCCGAAAAAAAAATTAATTGTTTTAATTTGGCAGAGTTTCATTATATGATAAAACAACGTCTGACCAATATTCATCCAAATTAATCTCAACCATTGGTCGATTGGACATGGATTAACCCATATCTATGTAAAAAGAAATTTTTCGCAAACTTACTTTGACAGCGGCACACCATTTGGCTTGTTGATGAATTCTTCGTGGTGCAACACCGCATCATTCCATGGTACATCGAGGAATTTTAATATTTTTCGCATCCATTCTTCTGGATGCAGAACCAACTGTTCATAATAAACCTGTCAAATGGCAAAAACAAATGGAATAAATGGATTAACGATACACAAATTTGCATAAAAATACAATTAAAACTTAAATTTAAATTCAATTAAACGAGTATATGAAATGTTAAATACGCAGTTTTTTTTAATTTTTGTTTTTTTTTTTTATCTGAGTACGCTGCTAAATGGCAAATGCTTGTAGTTCATTTATTTCGATTTAGCATTCACAACAGACATAACCATTAAGTCATCAATCAAATGGAAAATGCGAATTGAAAATTAAAATGCAAATGGTGAAATGTGAAATGTAAAATGTGAAAAGTTCTATCGCCAAAACCAGCGAAAATTCCGGCAACAATGCACAAATACCGCGAAAGTTTTACATTTTTTCTTTTCACTTTTCAGCTTAATGTTGTAGTTCTTTTTTCTGCTTCTACTACCTACTACATATTTGTCAATATGCTACAAGTTCCAACCAATCAATGACGACTTCTCACACTCCACATCCTACGCCATTTACCGCCAAAGTACGCGAACTAGTAAATACTCCTACTTGATCGCAGATGAATCTGTCAGTAGGTACATCCCCAACGTGTTATTTTTTTATTTTATTTTTTTTTTTTGTTGTGTCTTTCGTTAGTACTAAACGCCCACTATCATACTCGTACTCACCATCATGCAGCGCTCCTTGCCAATCTCCTTGCA